AAGGAACTTAAAGGATGTGTAATAAAATTTTAATGTGCCTTTAGTATATATTAAGTGAAAAAGTAGGTTTCTTAGATGAGACAATTACATTCTGTCCTCCTGGGGAAGTAAGTTAATACAACAAATTTAAGGCAAGTGATGCAGCCATAGTCTGAATTTGTATTAGGAAATATGGTAATACATTTTAAAAGGTAATTTTTAAATCAATAGTGTCAACATTTTAGGTATCAAAATAATCTCATCAAATTAACTTATTTTTAGTTCTATCTATTCCTAACTAAAATGAATGCCTAAGTAGAGGAAAGATATCTCCTGTAGGCAATTCATTATTTAAGCATCAATGAAAAGACTTGAGAGGTACCAGCTCATATCATTTTGAGAAAAGGTAGCAGTGAAAGAAGGGACATATTGCATCAATATGACTAATCTGTAACCATCACAGGCATGTGGAGAATATCCCTGATCTATTGTACTTGTTAGCTCACTTGCTGAAAGAACGGACAAGTAAAAGTAAACTTCCCTGACTCAGTGTAGACCTTAAAGAAACTCATGTATCTGATGATTATTTTATGATCCAAACTCAAGACCTTTTCTCTCTACAATCACACAACTTTGGTCAAAGCCCTCCCATGCCCCATCTTGGTTTGACCACACACCTCACATATAAATGCTTGCTTTGTGTCTTATGCATTAGCCACATGTTTGTTCACATCACTTCAACTTTCTGGGATACCTTCATTAATTACTTTCTAATACTCCATACTATAATACTTTCTTCAAGACTTATTCAAGACCTAATTAACTCACAAGTTTCTGGAGACTGTTTTGTCACAGATAATATCTGAGTTGTTTTGTGGGTTCCATATCTTCAATGGCATTAACATTTTGCTCAACATACAAAATTCTGTGCAGTGAGTCAGAGCAGGAAATGAATTCATTAATGTGAGTGTTTGCCAATTGCAGTAAGAGGATGAAGAAGATATAAAAACTAAGTTTATCTTCAAACACCATTTAGCTCAACAATAGAGGAGAGCGCCAAATTCTCCTATGTGCCCTGACCATTGCATTCATTCAAACAAGTCCAAAAGATGGGCAAAGTTACAAGGGTCTTCCCATGTGGTTATTCGAGAAATGCAATGTTGAAGGTCATACACTTTACTCATCAATTCAGCAAATGTTTCAAGCTATCTAGTCTCTAGATAGTTGAAAAGTTAAGCTTAAAAATTGTATTAGTTTCCTAGAAATGGGATTGCAAAGTACAACTAGGCAGCTACACTGTTGGAAAGCAGAGGTTCAAAAATCAAAGTGTTTTAGTTTCATTTCATTTCTGTTGCCATAATAAAATATCCTGACAAAAGGCAACTTATGGGAGAAAGGGTTTATTTTATCTCACTTCAGGTTGTAATCCAGGATAGCATGAAAGTCTGGGTAGAAGAAACTTAAAGCACCCAGATGTATCACATTGAAAGTCAATAGCAGAGAGAAATGGGTGAAAGTATGCTTGCTTGTATTCAGCTCAATTTATTCACTTTTATATAGTTCAGGATTTCCTGCCTAAGGAATGATGTTGAATCTTTTCACATCAACTATCTTAAAAGAATTCTCCACAGACATATTCACAGTCCAACCCAGTATAAACAACTCCTCATCAACTCTATTCTCAGGTGATTCTAGGTTGAAAATTAAAACTAGCTACCACATAAGTTATCCATATGTCATGTTGCCTGTAGAAAAGGGTCAGTCATGTCATTTCTTAGTTCTTTTCTGCCTCAGATGCTCCTTCACACCCAACTTCCTTATTCATCACAGAGTATTCTCCTTATGTACCTTCATAACATTTACCCTCTGTATGGGTCCCAACACCCTTCTTTAGTGAAGACATGAATAACTGGATTAGAGCCATCTCTACTGACTTCATTTTAACTGGTCACCTCCTTAAAGTCCCAATTTCCCAATAAAAAGTCATAAATCTGAGGTGCTACAAGTTAGGAGTCAAGCATATCTGTTTGGGAGGACTGCTATTCTACCCATAGAAAAGATGTGTGGATGAGAGACTCTGTCAAGACACTCAGAAGATGCTCATACAGAAATGGTGTGTCACGTGGGATGAGACTAGAGAGTTGTACCTGCTGTTACTTTCTCATAAGAACCATACCATTATTATTTCCCATAGGCATATAATCTTCTAGAGTCAAAGGGTAAAAGACAAATGATGTTTTTGTTGGGTAGCAGGATAGATGGCTTCCTGTTGAACTGTGGAACTGAACAACAGAATCATTCATGATCCCACCATCACTTATACTTTCTTGGATGGGGAAGAAGAAAGTCAAATTACAAATGCTGTGCAAAGTTCATAACATCCATCTTTTGCAGCATCACTTTTATGAGGAAATTGTTACCAACATTTTAAATATCATCAATCAGTGTAAAGTGAGAATGAAAACACTTTTGAGTATTTCCAAACACAATTTAATATATGTATCCTTAAAAACTAAATGCATTTAAAATAGCCACAAATTTAAAATAAGTGATTCCTTAAAGAGACTTGAGCAAAGAATCAAAACCAGAAATAATGTCACCACTCTGAGGAAACCCAAAGTATTCCAGCTGATCTTGTTGAGATCAATACACTATAGATTATTCAATGAAATGTGCTCCATAGTATGATTCTCCAAGTTCAAAGCCCATTTCCTGAACTTTTCAAACATACATTGTTCATCTACTAAATGATAAATTTTCAGTAACTTTTAGAAGAATGAGACTGAATGAGAAACAAGAAAAGATTGCATTCAATATACTAAAGCAAAGTAACACAGAGACAATGATGTGTAGGTAGAGTTTTCCTGCCTGGCCCACAGTCAGGACAAATCTCTCTCACCTGCCAGTCCCACAGCCGTTCAAACCCGACCAAGTAAACACAGAGACTTATTTTGCTTACAAACTGTATGGCCGTGGCAGGCTTCTTGCTAACTGTTCTTACAGCTTAAATTAATCCATTTCTATTAATCTATACCTTGCCACGTGGCTCGTGGCTTACCGGCATCTTCACATGCTGTTTGTCATCTTGGCGGCTAGCAGTGTCTCTCTGACTCAGCCTTCCACTTCCCAGCTTTATTCTCCTCCTTGTCCTGCCTACTCTTCCTGCCTAGCCAATGGCCAATCAGTGTTTTATTTATTGACTAATTAGCAACACATTTGCCATACAGAACATCCCACAGCAATGATGACTTTGTTAAACAAGAAAAAAGAAAGTATGAGTGACTTATATTATTCTTACTACTTATATTATTCCATACTACTTTAATTTCAACAGGACATTTCAGTATTTTCTTGAAATATACATCTTAATTTCAGTTGGAAAATATTTTTAAAGTAATCCTTAAGATTCTGTATCTCCATGGATGACCCTGTGAAGGTGAAGTGGATGAGATCTGCATGAGTGAACTGGGTGTGGGGGGTGGCAGAGGGTGAGGAGTGGGGGGATGAGAACATAGGGAAATGGGAGGGTCAACCTGGAACAGGGACAGAGTAGGAGGGCAGGGAGGAAGATACCATGATAGATGAGGACGTCATGGGAATAGGAAAAGGCAGGGTGCTGGGGAGGCTCTCAGGAATCCGCAAGGATGACCCCACCTTGGTCTGCAGGCAGTGGTCTAGAGGGTGCCTGGACTGGTCTACTCTAATGACCAGAGTAGCAAATAACCTAGCTGTCATCACAGAGCCTTTGTCCAAGTGACTGATGGAGGCAGATGCAGAGATTCACAGCCAGGCACCAGGCTGAGCTCCAGGAATCCAACTGATGAAAGAGAGGAGGGATTCTGCAGGTGGAGGACGTCGAGATCATGATGGGAAGATGTGCAGAGATGACCGGTCACACTAGTGGAAACCCATGAACTGTGGACTGGTGGCTGTGGAGCCCCCATGGGACTGGAGTAGGCCCTCTGGATATGGAAGATGGTTGTTTGGCTCGAACTGTTTGGGGCGCACCCAGGCAGGGGGATTGGGATCTGTCCCTGGTCTATGGGAATCCAGTGCCTGTGGTGTGACGCCTTACACAGCCTTGGTGCAGTGGGAAGGGGCTTGGACCTGCCTAGGCTCAGTGTGCTGGACTCTGCTGACTCCCATGGGAGATCTAGATTTGGGAGATGTGGGGATACAGGGTGACTTGGGAAAGAGGGCTGGGGAGGGGTGGGAGGAGGGAGGAGGAGGGAATCTGTGGATAGTATGTGGAGTGAGTAGAAAATTTCTTAATAAAGAAAAAAAAGATTCTGCTTTGGGATGTTCTGTATGGCAAATGTGTTGCTGATTGGTCAATAAATAAAACACTGATTGGCCATTGGCTAGGCAGGAAGTATAGGCGGGACAAGGAGGAGAAAAAAGCTGGGAAGTGGAAGGCTGAGAGAGAGACACTGCCAGCCGCTGCCATGACAAACAGCATGTGAAGACGCCGGTAAGCCATAAGCCATGTGGCAAGGTATAGATTTATAGAAATGGATTAATTTAAGATGTAAGAACTAGATAGCTAGAAGCCTGAGCCATTAGGCCAAACAGTTTAAGCAATATAAGTCTCTGTGTTTATTTGGTTGGGTCTGAGTGGCTGTGGGACTGGCAAGTGACAGAGATTTGTCCTGACTATGGGCAAGGCAGGAAAATTCTAGCTATAAGATTCTGTGTCTCAGGATATGTAGAGTTTATAATTATCTTTTCTCATTCTGAGGGTTGTCTTGTCAGTCTGTTGATTATTGTTCAGAACTGTTTTAGGTTGATAGCATCTTGTATGTCTAATTCTGCTTTTGTTGCTTGTGCTTTTGAGCTCTTATCCAAAAATGTCTTTTCTCAGATTAATATTCTGTTTTAGTTAACACACAGTGCATACATATGTCAAAACATCACACTTTCCTTCATGAATATGTGCAATGATTACATATTAACTGAAAACACTCTTTTGCTAACAGTATGCAACATATAGCAATTATTATCACTACTATTATCAAACATACCCAGATGCTTTCTTCTTGCTGATACTGCTTCCAGTTCCTCCCGCCATCACTGAACATCAGGAGGTAGTTGGTCACCCAGTCAGAACTCCCATATCCCCCCTGGGTGGCCACAGCCGTGACCTCCATTCGCTCTCCAAGGTCAATCTGCAGCGACTGATACTTATTTGATGTAAGGGGTGTCCATCCACCAGCTCCTTTTTAGAACAACAAAAAAGTAGAAAAACAGTATAAAATGAGGAAATTACTGAAGGTATACATGATGGGGGATTGAAAACTATAAGATGAAATATATAGTAAATTTAAGATGGTCATAGATTCTCATTAGAAACAAGAGGCAGAAGATTTTCACGCAAATAAATTGGCCCTACATTGCTTTCATAGTTGGCTAGGTGACCCCTGACACCCTATAGCACAGTTCTCCCCAAGTGTAGAAAGTGCTTGATGTGACACAGGTGACTAATCACTTCTACCACTTCTGAGGACTAGTGTGTTCAGTAGCCTATGTGCTGGTGCAGGACTTGCCCTTTGCCAACTATAAGAAACTAAACACCTATAACAAGAAGTGCAGTATTGTGTATTATATAAACAAAAGTCCTTACACATTAATTAAAACAGACATTTAGAAGAACCATCCAAGAGAGTGGAATGGGTGGTTTTCCTTGTGAGAAGCCATGGGTTAGATTTCTAGCATTATAAACAATTGAAATTAAAAACAGAGGAGTGATTTGTAACATATGTTCTGACACGCATGCTTCAGTGCCTGAGTGAAATTATGCTTGGAAGCCATAGATTTCTCTCACATTTTATATTGTTTGGTGAACAGCACAGATTAATTTTTGAAGAGCTCTTATTTTCCTAAAGACTGGTCTGGTGACTGTGACAGGGATGCCAAGTTCTGCCACTGTTTTATTCTTACATTATCACATGTTTTGCCTGCTGTTTTTTCCACTTTGAAACATCAGAGCTCTGAGAAAACAATTAAGTTCTTCCATGTTTGTTACAATTTAAAGCAAGGGAAGGAAGAAAAATGGGAACTACAAAACTTAGATAATTTGCTGAGAATGTTAACAAATATATCTATGCAAGTTAATTTTCCCCCCAAAAGCATCCAATAGTGTGACCTTATCATACCTATTTTCTTAATGAAAACAATAAAACATTTAATTTACATATATTTATAAAATATCATTTCAGGCCGGGCGGTGGTGGCGCATGCCTTTAATCCCAGCACTCGGGAGGCAGAGCCAGGTGGATCTCTGTGAGTTCGAGGCCAGCCTGGGCTACCAAGCGAGTCCCAGGAAAGGCGCAAAGCTACACAGAGAAACCCTGTCTCAAAAAACGAAAAAAAAAATATCATTTCAAAAACCTGCCCCTCTTTATTTTATTACCCTATACTAGGACACATTCATGCAATTTATTAATCACTTTATGTTTTTTGATAATACATCACTGCTTGAATTAAGTTTCTACTTTATAAGTTTTCTGCATCTGTTATTATTCTGCATATGTTTAGGCTAGACAGTTGTTTCATTTTACTACCTGGAAGGGTTTTGTGAAAGGAACAAATTGAGATGAAACTCCTCCACAGAAGTTTTACTTGGAGAGAGAGAGAGAGAGAGAGAGAGAGAGAGAGAGAGAGAGAGAGAGAGAGAGAGAGAGAGAGAGAGAGAGAACATAACTTATGGAAGGTAGTGGTGTCCTAGAGTGTGTGCTGACTTTGTCATGGTGGTCCATTTGTGAAGTGTCCTAGTTAGGGCTACTATTGCTATGATGAAACACCATGACTAAAAGCAAGATGGGGAGGAAAGATTTATTTGGCTTATACTTCCACATCATACTCCATCACTGAAGGAAGTAAGAACAAAACTCAAACAGGACAGGAACCTGGAGGAAGGAGCTGATGCAGAAGCCATGGAGGGATGTTGCTTACTGGCTTGCTTTCCATGGCTATCTCAGCCTGATTTCTTAGGGAATCCAGGACCACCAGCCCAGAGATGGTACTACTCACAATGGACTAAGCCTTCTCACATTTATCTCTAATTAAGAAAATGCCATACAGGCCTGCTTATAGTCCAGTCTTATGGAGTCATTTTCCTAATTGAGACTCCCTCTTCTCTGATGACTCTTGCTTGTGTCAAACTGACATAAAACTAGCCAGCCCAGGAAGGATTAGGAGGTGTGGCCTTGTTGGAGGAGGTGTTTTACTAGGGATGGGCTTTGAGATTTCAAAAGCCCATGTCATTCTCAATTGCCTCTCTCTCTCTCTCTCTCTCTCTCTCTCTCTCTCTCTCTCTCTCTCTCTCTCTCTCTCTCTGCCTCATAATGACCCATACATTATAGAGAGTTTGCTTCATTGCCACCATCATCCTACACCTTCTTCAACATCTGATAAGTACTAGGGTCAAGAGATACCCAAGGCTATAGAATGTAAGTAAGCAAAGTAAATGTCAAAGTAAACACTATTAAGGCTCTGTAGGTAAATCAAACAAATACTAAATTTCTTTATTGCAAAGCATAGCATTTCCCTTCAAGACAATTGTTTCAAATGGAGCTTTATCTAAATGTGCTTGTTTATTCCCACATAATAAAACCTTAATTCATAAAGAAGTATTAATTATTCAGAAACTATCTAAGATAAGAAGAAGGAAGGGAGACAGACAGATATGTGGTAGGGTATCACAATGCCTGAATTCTAGTATGATCAAAAGTATTTCATGTAAGGAATATGAGCTCAACTAGAAATGATCTCCTCCTTTCCCACTTTTGAGATTTATAGATTCTTAAACTTAAAATCTTTTTGTCAATAGTTAGCCTTTTTGCTGAAAGGAATTAAAATATGTCTTTTAGGTCTGATTTCAATTAGAAAAAAAATCAATTCTAAGTATACATACTTGTACATGCACACAAACACTGATGTATACACACACTCACAGATACATATATTCATGTGTGGGTAGAGTATTTCCTATACTTCAGTCTTTTGACTATGCTTCTTCAAGGAGAAAGACTACATAAGTCTTGCTTTAGAATCTATTTTTCTCTCATTCACACTTAGCTTTATTTCCTCAAGCCTTTTCAAGCTGAACAGAGAAGGTTCCAAAAATGTGTTGATTAGAAAGAACTGTACCTGAAGCTCAGATCTCAGTATATATGAACCAATTTATGCTATTTATTTCCTTACAAAATAAATCTGCATCCTCTTATAGCTTTGAAAATGGACAAAAGTAAATGGGATAAAATAAAGAGCTGATGATAGACTTATAATTAATACATAATTATATTAAATTTAAGTGGTAAAACTCTCTAATGAAATGATGATATCAAATGAGATAGTAAATGAAGTTGTAACTATATGTTGAGTATAAGAAACACACTGTGAATATAAGAGCTCAAATAGGCTAATTGTTTATCATTGTAACACTAGTCTAAAGAAGAGTTGTATTGGCTTTATTAGGTCGAATGTAGCAAGATTTACTAAAGATAATATAAAGGCTTATTCTGCAAAGAAAATGATATCCACTAACCAAGAGGATACAATAATTCTAAACATGCATACACTTAATAACAGCTTCAAATCTAACCTGATAAAATTGTGATTGTTTGAATAAAATGGTCCCATAAGCTCATACATTTGCATTCTTTTTCCCCAGATGGTAGAACTGTTTGGGAATGATTAGGAGGTGTGGCCTTGTTAAAGGAAGTGTTTTGCTGTGAGTGGATTTTGAGGTTTCAAAACCCATGCCATTTCCAGTAATCTCAATCTCCTCTCCCCTCCCTCTCTGCCTCATGCTTGTAGATCAGGTGTAAGCTCTCAGCTGCTGCTCCAGTGCCATGACTGTTTGTCTGTTACTATGGTCCCTGCCATCATGGTCATGGACTATGACCCTGTAGAACCATGAGCACACAAATTAAATTCTTGGTTTTATGAACTGCCTAGGTCATGGTATTTTGTCATGGCAATAGAAAGGTAACTAGTTAGAAGTTGGTACCAGGAAGTGGTGCATTGCTGTGACAGGCCTGACCATGCTACTCTTTGGAGGAATGTAGAAGGCTTTGGGATTTTGGACTGGAAAAGTGGTTGAATGCTGTAAGCAGGGTTTACTGTACTATCCTAGTAGGAGCTTGGAAGACAGTAGTGCTGAGAGTAACATGGGCAGTCCCTTAAGCTCTGCTTACAGTACTCAACCACTTTTCCAGCCCAATGACCCAAAGTCTTTCACATTCTTCCAAAGAACAGCATGGTATGAAATGGTAATATATATTCTGTGCTGCTGTGGGATGGTCTGTATGTCAAATTGCTCTGATTGGTCAATAAATAAAACACTTATTGGCCAGTGGCCAGGCAGGAAGTATAGGCGGGACTAACAGAGAGGAGAATTGAGGGAACAGGAAGTTGGAGGCAGACACTGTCAGCCGCCACCATGACAAGCAGCATGTGAAGACGCTGGTAAGCCACGAGCCATGTGGCAAGTGGGCTGTCGAACTGCCGGGGTTTGACGGGACCAGAGAGAAAACTCTCCAGCTACACTCTGCCATTGTTTGTTGGAACTACATAATTTGCTTTTTAATTTTAATTTATCAGATTGTCTTGAGTTTCAGAAGAGGCTTTGGATTTTTAGAGAGTTATAAAACTGTGAAGTACTATGTGGACTTTGAGGTTGAATTAAATGTATTTTTCATTATGATATGTCTAAAAAACCATGCATACAAAAAGTGGAATGTTTGAATAAGAATGGTCCCCATAGGCTCATATATTTGAATGCCTAGTCTCCAATTGCTGGAACTATTTGGGAAGGATTAGAAGATAAGGCCTTGTTGGAGGAGGTGTGTCAGTAGGGGTGAGCTTTGGGGTTTCAAAAGTCTCCTTTATTCCCAATTAGCACCTCCCTTGACCCCAACTCCTACTTGTGGATCAGATATAAGCTCTCTGCTACTTCTCTAGTGCCTATTGTCTGCCTTTTGCCATGATGGCCATGGATTCTACTACCCTCTGGAACTGTGAACCCTAAATTAAGTGCTTTATTTTGTAAATTGCCTTGGTCATGATTTTTTTTTTGTCACAGCAATAGAAAATAACTAAGAAACCAATCCAAGATTGTAAAATAAGCTCTTAGTTTCCACTTCATCCTGAATTTTTATAG